GTTTTATTGAAAAGCATGCTGGATTTGATTGGTTCCTGTAATGTGGACAGAGTATTAATATGAAACAAATAACGTGTGCTTAAACTACCTTTTATTATTTACCAAAACGTCAAAAAAAAAATGTAGAAACGTGGATGTCAGCTTTGGCTGTCAGTTTTGTGAAAACACTTAAATTTTCTTTTTTCTGTATAAGTAACCTTTATTTTTTTAAGCAGTCAGGTGAATGAGTATTAGAGGTGAAAACTTGCTAGAATCTTACTCTTTTATTTATGTGTGCACACTATGCTTGTGTGCTCATATGGTATATCACTGTAATGTCCTGTCATATACAACTTCTTAAACAGAAATGGATACTGGCATGATGCCATATGGATGATCACAAATGGAAGAACTCCGATTTCAAAACTAGCTCCAAACAGAGTATGTTTTTCAGACCAGAGTATGCTACATAGTTCCTGAGGCTAGATTTTTAAAATGCGGAAATCCAGTTACTTGTTCAGATGGTGTTTTGAACATTTGTGTATTGTCTACTGCATCCCTATAATAGAATTGTAACAAATTCCATAATTGTTTTTAGGAAGAAAATCCTTAGTTCAGTAACAAGCATGAGCATGTACAAGCTTGTGTTTAAACAATAAGAAAGGTTGGGGCTGAAAACATCAGTTGCCTGAAGGAAAGATGGTTTGTTTTCATTTGGGAGTTTTATGCTGTCAGTTGCCTTTGAACATACTTAAGCATCTCTAGTGCTTAATACAGTGCTTCTGAAATTATAGTGAATAAACACATTCTTGTTACTGAGTCTTTAAGCACATTGGCATTTCCAGTTGGACTCAGAATTCTATTTTTGTTTCTCTGATAATCTTTCCATCATTAAGTGTGGTGTAGACAAATCCAGTAGCCTGATAATTTTACAACTAATTTTTTACAGTACAGAGTGTTTTCATTATAAGGAAATGTTGTTAATATAATAAAATTTCCTATTTTCTTGAACTGAGTTTATTTTAAAGTAGGAACTACAGTCTCTACAGTGAAAGACACTTCAAGTACACTTTTTATTATAATACTGTCCCAAAGCTGTTGCTTTCTGATAACAGCAATTTGTTAGTTTCAGAATTCTGCGATGGTGTCTTTTCTTGAAAAAGTAGAAATGGGATATTTGAGGCATTGTTCTTGGGCTTTTCATCGTTCCTCATGTGTTTTGATATCGCATTCATCTCATGCTTGTCCTGGCATACTCAAAGCTACAATGGCTTGCATTAGAATCAGCTTGAAAGAGTAAATGTTTCTTTTTTTTTCTAAATTATCGGTAAGATTTTTTCCCTTACAGTGGAAATAAAATACTAAAATAGTAGGTTATGTTTACATGTTGCAACTGGTGACCTCTAATGAAAGCCTCAGTCATTTTTCATAAAATAATATTAGAATACTGTGATTCATGCATTTAAAGGTAAACAAACCTGATGAACTGTTTGGAAACTAGACAGTTGACTTACAGTGATTATGGTTCTGCCTGTTTAAATAGCATTTCAAACAGATAAAGCTGACTGATGCGCTCTGTAGTGGATAATGAAATGGTACATAGACCACACTTCAGTGCAGGAAGCCTTACTTGAATATGGGAGGCTATACCATGTTGGTACCTTATTTTATCTAGATATCCCAGAATGAGGCTGCTCATTTTCATTAAGTTCTATTCTGACATACACTTGAACAGAACAGAAGGTGAACTGTTGAAACATAACTTGAATCCTAAAATTACTTTTGCATTTCAGCTAGTATAAGCTAAGCAGAAGCAACGGCTACTTAAACTCTGCTACACTGCAAATGCTTTAGGAATGTAAGTGGCTTACTTTAGGGTGTCACACTAGAATAGTTATTCCGTTTCCATTTCTTGTTTAGCTCTAAATGACTCCTTCAAAGAAAACAACAACAAAACAAAATACATACTAAAAACTCCAACTCCCGCAACCCTTAAACTTATGCCTTTTTTTTTTCCTTGTTATAAATAAAAATGTCATCTACTTAAAGGCATGATAACTCGCTGTTAGGTCATGATTTGCTAAAGTGTGCCACGTTTGCTGTGATCAACAACAGCGAGAAAGAAGATAGTTGTAAAAGGGAAAATTTCAGGCTTTTTTATTGGATTTTGCTCTCTTTTTGCGTTGTTACTGTTTTGAGTTCTTACGTCAAAGAGTTCAGATACCGTTAACTGAGCATTTTGTCTCTGCCTTAATTTATTGAATTAATGCTTTAATGCCCTTCGGCATATGTACTTGTAGTAGTGGAGCTTATGCTAAGAGAGATCCTTTTTACAGAACTAGAAAGTTTGTTAGCTCTTTCTTAAGTGAGACACTATCCTCTGTGTGCCTTTTGCAAGCAAACGTTGACAGGCTCATAGGAAATGCAGCTGACGTTAGGAAGCTTGGGTGGGGACTGCAAGGAGCTGGCAAATACTGCAGGGTTTAGTGCCAGACTTGCTGACACAACAGTGCTTTACTTGTAAAAGTTTTCTTTAGGCTGCTAATTCTGTCTTCAGAGTAACTGGAACTAAAGTGGTGTCTCTGACGCCAAGTTAAAATAGCTAAAGCAACAGTTTATGGGAAATTGAGAATTCTGGTTTCTTTCCACAACTTAGATCCTCAGAAATATTAGTAAAAAGAACAAGCTCCTCTGTTAATGAAAGGATGAGTTATGAACAGTGCCATAGAATGAATGCACTGCAAAACAAGTCCCATCTAACTGTAGAGTAAGTGGCAAAAACAGCTCAGAGAGGGAAAGGCGAGCAGTGTAAAGTATCTATAAATACTGAGCTCTCTCTGTTTTATATCACAGTTTCCATTTGTTTGATTTGCCAGGTCATAGTCATATTTCCTAAGGCACACTTTTAATAGCTTCCCTTAGCCTTCAAATAAAAATTCTTCACTTCAAGTGTATCTAGACATTGAGAAATGCTGTGTTGTTGAATGCGAACACATATAGCAGTTTGACTGTGTTACCTTAAGTATAATGTGTTTTGTCTTGAATTTACAGTATTTCTGGTCAATGTAAAAGCCTAAGGAGTAGTAAAGCAAAGCTCTGAAGGAGTATGAAGGTGGAATCCAGCTTCTCTTTGTGATGCAGAAGTTCAGGCAGAGTATGAGTTGCTGCTACCCTGCTGTCGCCATTTCTGTATGTGGGAGGGCTTTCGGGTGACATGGAAAAGAATCTTGCAGGGGGAGGCATACATGACTTATAGAACATAAAAACTGGTGCGGTCTTGGTGGAAGGATGCAGCTCTATTGCATAAGCATATTGGCAGTTTTTGGATTTCAGCATCACTTTTAGATTTTTAGGAAGAGCTTCCTTCCCTTCCCTAGAGTGCTAGAAGTACTTAACAGGACTCAAAACAAGTGTTGGAAGAAATGAGATTCAGATGGGGGATGTAATATTTTCAGTGTTTGCTCAGTGCAATATGGCAAGCCAGGTTAGCTTTAATATTATTGCCCCTTTAAGGTAAGCAGCTGCGGGTTGTCTCTCCCACAAAATTAACATTTCGGTAGGAGACTGAAGCGGCTTTGCCTAGAGCAACTGGATGGCTGTATCTTGCATCTGTGGGAGGCATTGGCTTCTGCTGGCCTCAGAATTGTAGCTCACCTCTGAAGTCTCCTGTTCCCTGATTATTTTATCAATGTGAAGTTAAATATAAGCAATATATAAATAGAAGGAAAGGCTGTTTCTAAATTGTGGAGGGTTTTTGCACGAACTATTGTCATACAAAGTAAAAAATGGATTGAACAGTTGTTCTCAGAGATGATCTTTATCATCTTTTGTAACATCTCTCATCAGTTCAACTCTGCAACACTGGTATGTCTTTCAGACCCAGATTTGTCTTTTCCTGAAGACTAGCATTTAGAAAGTTTGTTTTTAAATTTATGAAATGTAAGCTAGTGCCTTCTGAAAGCTATGTAGCAAGTTACTACTGTGTAGCCCGTGACTTGACCAAATCAAGCTTTACAGTACACCATGAATTTTTTGTGTAGCTTTTGGTGGTGATCTGTTCTCATGTCTCTCTCAACATTCTATAGCACATCTCTAGGATTTACTCTTCTGTAGTGCCTGATCGCTCCCACATTGCTGCCTATGTCGTTTTTCCCTCCAAGTATGTAAATTTTCATTGTGAACCAGATCCTGGGCTTAACAGTGTGGATGTACCCAGGAAGGCCCTGTGTCTTAGCTCCATATAAAGGGCTTGGAGGACATGTATGGGGAAGAGAATAGAGGCTTGTGCAACAAAAGATTAATTTCCTTTGAGGTGATAACAGATAACTTCTGGAGAACATTAAGTCTTTATCTTGGTCACTCAAATTTGTTGAATGAGGGACGGTTTTATAGCTGCAATGGTGACTCTTTGCTTCCAGGGAGGAGTTTCTTTGTTGAGTAAAAATTGTGCAGTACCACTGAAGTTATCTGGACAGTGTCCAAGATTTAAACTGTCTCATGGGATGTATTGCTGGCATTCTCTGTGGCCTGTTTAAGCATTTTTGTTTACAGATGTGTAGAGTCAGCTATTTCCAGTGCAGTGAGACTGCACTTCCTGTGGGTTGAATCGTGTTGCTTAACTGTGGTCAGCTGAATTCCTTGGACAAGAGTTGAATTTTTGTAATGTAAAGTCAATAGACTTTGCTAACAATAGCTGGCAATGAATGCACATGCAAGGCTACCATGAAATAATTTCTGATTATGTATTAAATATTGTGGACTCTGTTCTTCATCTTTTTCTGCACAGTTCTGACAAAAGTGAGAATGACAAAAGTACAAGAACAGCTTTGTAATTATCCATTGCAGCTTTCACACTAACTCGTTACTTGTGAGCAGGATAATAAACTGTGAATGTGTGCAATTTTTATAAAGCTTACAGACAGACATGTACTTTGACTTCAGAACACTTTTTTATAAACTTGGTAATTAACACCAGTTTTCTTAGATGCTGATACATTTTGAATACTACTTCTTTTTTACAGATGGAGCAATTATCAGATGAAGAACTTGACCATGGTGCAGAAGAAGATAGTGATAAGGAAGATCAGGATCTGGACAAGATGTTTGGAGCCTGGCTGGGGGAACTGGACAAACTCACACAGGTTACAGAGGTTTCAGTCATCTCAAAGAATAATTCTTTATGAGCATTAACATATTTCATTTCAGTTGGTTGCTAACTACTCAGCACTGCCACTTGCAGCAAGTTAGACTGTAGCATGGGATCAGCTCAGTGCTCTTTAAAGGTTTCTAAATTGTCTTGTTTTCCCCATCTCAAAGTTGTTGAATTAATTTTTCACAATCTGCTAGTTTGACCTTTCCAAAAGAGTATTATTCCTTCTAACAACTACGGAATTGGTATTTTGTCCTCGTGTATGTAGAGAAACACTGACTTCAGCTTGCTAGACGTAGGCTATATCTCCAAACGTATGGTTGGACATTGTTCAGCTATGACAGCATTTATTTGTTGCACCTGAACAGCAATAAGGAACAAGAAATTGTGAATGTTGCCTCTGACATCATAAGGTGCCCTGATACACACTAGAGGACTCACCATTATTGCGGAGTACACTTCCTGCATCAGAGGGGCAGCTGATAGGACGTCTTCTTTTGATACTTCTTTCTGTTTAGTGCTTTTCCTTTCCTTCACAAGCAGATCTTGCATTTTGCGTGGTATGCCAAACTGCTGGGGTGACAGGCCATTTCTCTGTGACTGCCTGCTATGTTTTTTTCAGCTGTGTGAGCTGGCCTTCCTGAATATCGTATTTTATCTTCTCCCTCTTTGTCACGTAGAGTTAAGCAAAGGTATGATACCTTAAGTTTCAGTAAGCTAGAGAAGAGGCAGCTTTTCTCATCTTCATCTTACCCAAAGACTGAAGGAAAATTGAGCTAATCATAGAATGGTTTAGGTTGGAAAGGACCTTGAAGCTCATCAAGTTCCAACCGCCCTGCCATAGACAGGGACACCTCCCAGTAGACCAGGTTGCCCAAGGCCATGTCCAGTCTGGCCTTGAACACCCAGCGATGGGGCCTCAACAACCTCTCTGGGCAATCTGT